CCCCAAAACCCCAAAACCCCAAAACCCCAAAACCCCAAAACCCCATTTCTAATTATCAATATTGAATAGAACAAATTTCGCTATTATTATTCGATTGTGTTATGAAGCTTTGAAAGGTCCAGGTACTTCATCTTGAACGTCCTTGTGTTGTCCCCAACATCCAGCATCGACTGCTCAAAGTCTAGATCAGAATTCATGTTGCCTATAAATAAGGAATTGGTGACCTACAGCGGTGGAGATTGTTGGAACTATCCAGATTTCTACTATTACTTGAGACAGCACAAGAACCATCATTTGATAAGTTTATTAAATTTTTGATATGTTTTATTTTAGCTTTCTTATTCATTAGTTTGAACTTAGTCTGTTCAAACTTCTCCTTCTCCTTCCCTTGTTTGTATTTCAGTGTGAATTTAGGCTTCAATTTTTCCTTCAATCTTGGCCTTGATTGCTTCATACCTCCATAACCCGTATTAATGTTAATAATGGGTGGCTGATAATTACCTAAACATCTCAAAGTTCACTTACGTAATCGGCTCATCGATCTCTCTCTGCTGCGATATTCATCGGAGCTATTTAATCTTCCCAATTTCTTTACTCCAATATTTCTTAAGGTTATTTTAAGGCATGTTCATTTAGCTGGATCTTCGAGATAGTTGATATACTAGGTTTTATTTTGTCACACATCCGATTATTCTCTGTTGTGTTCCTCAGATTAAGGATTCTAGATTTAGGCCTCTTCATTGTTTTATAATTTATATTCACTGTAACATTATTCCTCTATAGGTCAAACCTGTGATACTTACACTTTGAACTTTTCCATTTTGTGCTACTGCTTTCAGCCTATTTTTGAGATTGGTTGGCTTACCTTCTTTTGGTGCTGGTACTTCTGTTCATCTGCAATTTTTCCCTAAATTTTGGTTTCTGGCCTATGGTCACAAGATTCTTGAATTTATCATCGGCTACAATTTCTTTTAAGCATTGTGCTTTAAGCCTGCTCTGTTTTCATCCGGTGATTTTAATGGTGCGGTGAAAGTTTTTAAGCATTTTTAGCCTAGCAGCTTTGCTAAGAGTGTCCTTATTAATAGGCACGCATTCAAGGCTCTCATTATTCCAAGAACTCTCATTTGTCTTAACATTAGAGTTTTGTGACCCGGTGTTATATAGAGTTGAAACAGTCTGCTCATCAGATTTCCCCTTTGAACCGAATGTTATATTGATCTTGAAGGCTTTGCCATTGACTTACTGGAAGCCTTCGTCTGTAATTTATCCACTTCCGCTCTTGCATTGCCGTACTCCATCTCAGGTTTATTAATAATACTCAATATTTTAAACTCATTCTGGGGTTTTGGGGTTTTGGGGTTTTGGGGTTTTGGGGTTTTGGGG